ATATTTTATACACACACACAAGCTTCATTTGTTTTGTTTCTCTAGAGAACCCAGGCTAAGAAAAGCATCATAGCAACATACAAGCCTCTACTGACGGATGGTAGCTGCACATGAGGTGCATTGTCCAGTAATTGAACTTGGGACTTCTGCATGGAAGGTGAGACTTCTACCACTGAACCACCAATGTCATCATGACAATGTTGTTGTTGTTGTTGTTAGGTGCCATTGAGTTGGCTCCAACTCATAGCAACCCTATGTACAACAGAATGAAACACTGCCCAGTCCTGTGCCAGCCTCAAAATACTTGCAATACCAGAGCCCATTGTTGCAGCCACTGTGTCAGTCCATCTCATTGAGGACCTTCCCTTTTTTCACTGACTCTCCACTTTACCAAGTGTGATATCTGTGATAGTTAAATTTGTATGTCAGTTTGGCTGGGCAGCTGGTGGTAGTTATTCCCCATGATGAGACTGGCAATCAGCTGCATGGTGGGATCTACCACAAGCAGCCAAGTAGCTGCCTTTGGGTATGTGGTCTGCTTCCCATATATAAGAAGCGGCTTTGGGAATTAGCTTATGGCACTCTTGGACCCTGCATGCTCTGCTGACCTTGGGACTTACAATGGACTTGAGTTAATGGCCTGCCATGTGGTTTGGTAACATCAGGACTGTGCCTTTTTACTGGTTAACCTTGGGCTTGGCAGCCTCAGCAGCCAGCAGCTGTCTGAGTGAAGAAAATCTTCTAGCTCCCTTCAGGAGCTGGAGGCAGAGCTGAAGCCCAAGGCTGAGGGGCTTTCACCCAGCCCCTAGAGCCTGGCACTTTGAACTTGGATGTAAAGCCTCCAACTTGTAAGAATAAACTCCTCTTAAGGCCATCCTATTTGTGGTATATTATTGTCAGAGTGGCACTAGGTAACCAGAACAATGTCCTTCTCCAGGGAATGGTCCCTTCTGACAACATGACCAAAGTAGGTGAGATGAAGTCTGACCATTCTCGCTTCCAAGGAGCATTCTGGCTGTACTTCATCCAGAACAGATTTGTCAGTTTTTCTGGCAGTCCATGGTACTTTCAGTATTCTTCGCCAACACCACAACTCAAAAGCATCAACTCTTCTTCAGTTTTCCTTATTCACTGTCCAGCTCTCACATGTGTATGAGGCTATTGAAAATACCACGGCTGAGTTAGGTGCACCTTCATCTTCAAAGAGACATCACTACTCTTCAGCACTTTAAAGAGGTCTTTTGCAGCAGATTTTCCCAGTACAATATGTCATTCGGTGTCTTGACTAATGCTTCCATTGGTATTGATTGTGGAACCAAGTAATGTGAAATCTTTGACAACTTCAATCTTTTCTCCATTTATTGTGATGCTGTTTATTGCTCCAGCTGTGAAGATTTTTTTTTCTTTAATGTTGATATATAATCCATACTGCAGACTGCAGTCTTTAATCTTCATCAGTAAGTGATTCAAGTCATCCTCACTTTCAGCAAGAAAAGTTGTGTCATCTGCATATCGCAGGTTGTTAATGAGTCTACCTCCAATCCTGATGCCATGCTCTTCTTCATATAGTCCAGCTTCTCAGATTATCTGCTCAGCATACAGATTGAATAAGTACGGTGAAAGGATACAACCTAATGCACACCCTTCCTTATTTTAAACCATGCAGTATCCCCTTGTTCTGTTCCAACGACAGTCTATTGTTCTATACACAGATTCTTCATGAGCACAATTAAGTGTTCTGGAATTCCCATTTTTCACAATATTATCCATAATTTGTTATGATCCACACAGTCAAATTCTTCTGCATAGTCAATAAAACACAGGTAAATGTCTTTCTGGTATTATTTGCTTTCAGCCAAGGTCCATCTGTTATCAACAGTGATATTCCTTGTTCTACATCCTCTCCTGAATCTAGTTTGCATTTCTGGAAATTTCCTTTCAATATACTGCTGCAACCATTTTAAAATTATCTTCAGCAAGATTTTACCTGAGTGTGATATTAATGATATTGTTCAACAATTTCCACATTCTGTGAGATTACCCTTCTTTGGAATGGGTACAAATATGGATCTCGTCCAGTCAGTTGGCCAAGTAGCTGTCTTCCAAATTTCTTGGCATAGCAGAGTGAGTACCTCCATTGTGGAATCCATTTGTTGGAACATCTCAATGGGTATTCCATCAATTCCTGGAGCTTTGTTTTTCACCAATTCCTTCAGTGCAGTTTTGACTTCTTCCTTCAATACCATTGGTTCTTTATTCTATGGTACCTCCTGAAATGGATGAACATCAACCAATTCTTTTTGGTACAATGACTGTGTACTCCTTCATCTTCTTTTGATGTTTCTTACATCTTTCAATAGTTTGCCCATAGAATCTTTCAATATTGCAACTCGAGGCTTGAATTTTTTCTTCGGTTCTTTCCGCTTGAGATTAAGTGCTTACTGTATACTAAGCACTTTGTACATATTAGCTCATTTAATCTTCACAGTAACCCCATGATATAGGTGTTTTTATTACCCTCATTTACAGATGAGGAAATAGAGATGAAGAGAGGTGAAATTAGCTGTCCAGAATCACTCAGCTGGTAAATGATAGAGTCAGGAGTCAAGGAGTCTGTAACCACATACATCTTTCAGACTTGCTTCTTCCTTTCCTTTCACCTGTCAGTCAATCCTTTTGCCACAAGGTCCTAGTGGGGTGCTGCACAGTCTCTCCTATCATGTAACCTCCACTATCTACTGCACTAGTTCTCTGGTGTTTTTCATGATAGGGCCACTAGTGCCAAGGATACACAGTGACATGTTCAGCAGCATCTCAAAGTGCTAGAGAGAAGTGAGGAGGATAGGACCTTCAAGCATGTGAGGGCAAGTACTGTGGAGCCAAAGGAAATAACTTGTCATCCCCAGGAATGATGGTTCTTGCCATTGAAAGGTAAAGAAATGCCAGCTGATGGATGGTAGAAAGCAACTGTCACTCCTGGGGTGGATGAGAATGCAGTTCCCCACTGGGGCCTAGTGGTAAAGGGAATGACTGACAGGTGAAAGAAAGATGGAGCAAGTCTGAAATATGTATATGCACACATGGAAGGACAAGCAGAGAGTCAAGAGAGATGGAGGCAGGCAGAGTGGCAAAGTCACAGAGTGACATGCACAGGAACAAGCCCCAGGGACAAGTATATGGGACACATTTTGACACAGCACAACAAAGACACACAAGGCCATACTGATCCCCAAGAGAAGGGACAGAGATGAAGCACATACCAGCCACTCTGTTCTTCCTTCTCAAAAAGCTCAAAAATCTACAGCCAACCATCAACTCAGAGCCTATTTCCTTCATGTTGTGATTCACTCAGGATCTGTACCTCGTCAAATCCTAAAACCAGTATGATCTGAAGGTAGCTAGGACCAGGAGCTCTCAGAATAAAGAATAAAATTCTTTGTCTTGTGCAACACACACTATATTTGATACACTTCCCTCAGAAGTGATATTTGATAATGTCATGTTAACAATGGACTTGGGACACACAGGTGTGTCTCTGCACCCAGTGGAGAAGAGGCCCACTAGGAAATGAATCCACCTTTGGTTAGTTATCTGACCATCTAGCCAATTCTCTCTGCCTCTCTCCCTCCCTCTTTCCTTCTATTGTTCCATCCCTTCTATCTTTTCTTTCTCCAATCTCATTCAAACATCCACTTTATTCACCTAGACCATTCATCCATCCATCTATCCAACCAACCAACCAACCAGCCAGCATATATATATTTATTATTATCTTGTGTAAACCTACCTTGCACTGGATGATATGAGAGAATCTGGGAAACAAGAAAAGGGAGGTAAAAAGTCACTCTCTTCCCTAGAATAAGTTCCATTTTCCCTCACAGAACATGTGGTGGGTATCTACTTTGTTGAATAAGGTAAAATGTAGATAACACAAAGAGGTCAGAGTTAAAAGGGTCTTAGAGAGACAGCATGATGACCTCCCATCACTGTGACAGAGTGCTCCGCTGAGAAAGAAAATGCATTATAAAATCAAGGTCTACCTTGCCAGCCTAGGTCTATCTATTCACATCTGTCAAGTTCCTATTAGCCTATTGGACAAAGCACCCCCCTGAGATTTACAGACTCACCTGACTCTCCTCAAGCTCTTTGAACCACTTAATCATGGCTGCATCACCTCACCCCAGATTGCTGGAGAAGGGATAAGTCATTTGACCCTTGATAAAAAAATAAAGCAAGCTCCACTAAAATTGGTCAACTATACCACCAAGAAAACTTGGTGTTCAGTGTACACCTTCTGAGTAACACTAAGACTGTCCCTTGTGGAATAATATAGGAATATAGGCTCTGGTAGCATAGTGCCTAAGGCACTTGACTGCTAACCAGAAGGCTGGCGGTTCAAACCCACCAGCCACTCCTCGGAAGGAAGGTTGGGCAATCCTACTTCCGTAGTGATACTGCCTCGGAAACCCAAGGAGGGGTCGCTATGAGTTGGGGCCGACTCGACGGCAAATAACAACAACAACATAGGTCTGGGAGGCACATTGAGGAATCAGTTAATCCATTTCGCTGCCCCCAGGACCACATACAAACCATTTTTATGAGAGAACTCTTTAAAGACCTCAGAAGTCTTCACAGCCTCCTTTATTTCCTGACCTGGGTCCCATAGTCATAAATGTTTCCTTCATGTTGCAACTTAAGCCTATTTCCTTCATGTTCCAATTCAATGAGGAGAGAAATCACTGGTCATCATATTCTGTATATTCATTTTTATAGGACACTCTTGAAATTTCTCCAGAGCCTTCTTTTGTCCAGGACATCTCATTCTGACTCAGGTGTGCACGGGCGTTTGATATTGGTCCTCAGAGTAAAATCTGGCAAGTTCAGATTTGAAAGCCTGCCAGGAAGATTGGCTGCCAGGGAAGTGAGGTGTGCATGGAGAGGTACCTTTTCTTCAATAACAGTGCCTTGACCTGCCCGCTCTGCACTCTCCTTCACCCTTGTCCAGGAGGAGGCTCTAAGGGGTTACTAGCAGTGGTCACTGTGCTCTATCTAGCCTCTTGAAGAAGCTGAGTTAGATGTCTGACTCATCTGAACCCTCACAACTCCACCCTTTGCTGATCCAAGTCTGCATCAGTGCCTTCTAGTCTTGCAGCAGAGCTACTGCTACCAAGTTTCACTTCCTGTGCAGAGCCTCCCAGGGGGGTCTCTTTCAGGCCTTTGTTGCCTTCTTCCCCGGCACAGACTTTGCTAACCTTTCTTAATGCTAGCATGCTCTACCAAATAGTTTGCTAAAAATTCAGTGTTGCAGATGTTTTCTTTGGTCTGCATGTTGTTGCAGGCCCCTTCTGGATTTGCTTCCTTTTTATCATTACCTGCTACAGTCCCTTCTTTTCCTTAGCTCCAATCACTAGGCCATCACCACTGCACATGAAACACACACAACACAACCCAAGACCTAATCAAAACCAGCTGCTGTCAAGTCAATCCTGACTCATAGCAACCCCATGTGTGTCAGAATAGACCGTGTTCCATAGGGTTTTCAATGGCTGATTTTCCAGAAGCAGATAACACCCCTTTCTTCTGAGATGCCTCTGGGTGGACTCAAATCTCCAAACTTCTGTTTATCAGCTGAACATGTTAATCATTTGTACCATCCAGGGGCTTCACCCTAGACCTGTTTTTGTTGTTGTGTGCCATCGATTCAATTCTAACTCACAGTGACCTAATGTGACAGGGTAGAACTGCCCCATAGGGTTTCCCAGGGTCGTAATCTTTATGGGAGGAGACACCAGGTCTTTTCTCCTGCAAAGCCACTGGTGAGTATGAACTGCTGACCTTTCAGTTAGCAGCTGATCACTTAACCACTGTGCCATCAGAGCTCCTTAAGACCTTCAGACCAAAAACTGAAAAAGGAAAAGGCAATGGGAAAAGAGAACAAAGGGCATTATATGTTTTACAGGCCCTTTCTTGTTTCCATTACTACCACATAACATCTTTTTTAAAAAATTTAATGCCAAGCTTTGGATCTATGTGTCTCCATATTCCAAAGTACTTTTTTTTTGGGGGGGGCGGATTTGGGTACTACGTTTATGCTTAAAGGTCCACCTGAGAACAGGTGTGAGAAGGCAAATGGGTCTATACCCAGTAATATATGTAAGGTTGACAGAGGATATTTCTACATATGTATTTATATGTGCAGCTAATATATTCACAAATATAGAAGAGCATACGAGGGTAAAGTGATGAAAAGTTCTTAGCCATAACCAAACACTTTGAGGGAATGAGTCCCTGGGCCTGGGGACTTGGAACCATATAGTTTCAGGAGACATCAAGGTCAACTGGCATAACATAGTCCACAAAGACAATGTTCTACACTTTACTTTGATGAGTAGCTACTGGGGTCTTAAAATCTTGTGAGCGACTGTCTAAGGTGCAGCTATTGGTCTTTCCGCATTGAGATCAAAGAAGAGTAAAGAAAGTCAAAGATCCATGGAAACAATTAATCCAATGGACTAATGGAACATGTAAATCACAGCCTATCTGACCTTGAGACCAGAAGTGGTGCTCAGGTACCACTGCTGATTGCTCTGAAAGACATCACAATAGAAGGTCCTGGATAGAGTGGGAAAAAAATGTGGAACAAAACTCAAAATCATAAAAAAGGCCAGGCTTGCTGGTCTGAAAGAAACTAGTGGAACTCCCAAGACTATGGCCCTTAGTCACCCTTCAAGCCTGGAACTGAATTTACCCTTGTGGCTCAACTTTCAGCAAACAATAACCAAAAATAAATAAATAAATAAGCAAACCCACTGCCATTGAATAGGTTCCAATTCGTAGTGATCCTGTAAGATAGAGTAGAACTGCCCAATAGGGTTTTCAAGGCTGTGATCTTTACAGAAGCAGACTGTTGTATCTTTATCCTTTGGAGCAGCTGATGGCTTCAAACCGCCAACCTTTTGGTTAGCACTCAAGTGGTTAAACACTGCACCACCAGGGCTATTTAGCCAAATGATAACAACTTCAAACAACCAACCATATGAAATCAAAAGGGGGGCATTTTCTCAGAGATATAGCTTAGAAGGCAGGAACAGATGGGAAAGAAGGACAAGTGGAAATGGTAAACACAGGGAAGAAGTGGGAAGAGTGCTGTTACATTGCAGGGATTGCAATCAATGTCATAAAACAAAATGTATATGAATTGTTGAATGGAAAAAAATTTACTGTGCAAACTTTTACCCAAAGTTAAATAGCTGAAAATAAATGAAATGTTCAGTTGACCTACTAATCATCCAAGTGGTGGGCTGGTAAAAACTGGTTAATTCCCACCTTGGCTTCCCAAACAGGTTTGGTTGGGCTCAGGGATACAGTGTGCAGACACTTCCTCATGAAGTTCCTTTGCAAAGAACACACCCATGGTGGAGATGTCAGGGATGCACTGTAGCCCCAGAAACACAGTTGGCTCCAACAGAGGTACGAATGTTGTAGAGCTGGTGGTGTTAGGGAACCTCAGGCAAAGCTCCCTGAAAAGCCCCCAGGGCATGGCACAGACCTCTGATGTGTGAGCAACCCTTGGGAAGCAAGGCAGAGCCAAGGATGGTAAAGACAATGTACAGCAGGGAATAAGAAGAGTAGAGGGTAGGGCCAGGAGGATAGGAGTGTTTCCCATTATAAGAATGTAAAAGGCAAAAACAGAGCCCTTGACCACTGGACACAGACAGGCACTGCAAATGGCAGGATGAAGCCAGGCTCCTGAGCTGGCAAGACTGAGCATGAGACAGCGCTGAGTTCTTAGTAATGTACATGTTGAATGAAGCAGATGAAGAGGTTTCTCCCAGAGCCCATACCCCAAATGACTGTCACCACTTACTCTTCTAAAACCTTTTGGGCTCCAAGTCTGTCCATCAGCCTCTGGAACTGGGCTTCCTCATCTTCAGCCATGTTAATGTTACCCAGATACTCTTCCCCTCTGGACTGATACACTTTCTCTTCCTGGAGCTGGGCCACCCGTTCACTTGCATCTTCTTGATGTGGGTTGCTCTGGCTGAAGAAGAAGTGACCTGGGGAGGCATAGCACAAGGACCTCAATTAGGCTATACTCACCCAGAGCTTAGTTTTCTCAGCTGCCAGGAATCATTTGAGGTTGGTTCATCTGAGAGAGAGACAAAAAAAAAAGAAAATCCCTTATAGCAACAGGTCACTGGACATCATGTTTTGAATTTCATATCTAATTCCAAGTCTTTCCTAGTTCCATGAGCATTCTCCCAGAGAGGCTGGGACCTGGGAAAGGCAGAATGCATGACAGCTATTAGAGATGTTGACCTCTGAGGTTCTCACTTTTTTCAAGTCTGGCTCAGAACCTACCTTCTTGGTGACATCTTCCCTAAAAAACAATACCTTTCCCTCCATTACCCTACAGAAGACTGACTACCTATGTTCCATGTCATCATTCTAGTCACCACCACCATCAACATCACTGCTGTTGCCCTTCCCATTTCAAGGTATTAAATAGTTTGGGGTGTATTTTTTCATACTATCTAGTATTACAGCAATCTATCTCATCCTTTTATATCAGTGATAAGTTTTTGAAGATCGGGGAAGGCATCAGAAAGATCTAAGTAGCCCATATGGCACTACACATGAGGCAGATGCTTGGCAAAATCTGCCTGCGGATCTATCTGATCAGTGTCTGCTCTCATCAATATCTGGTCATTATCTGATCTGAAAATGAGCCTGGTTTCTTTATCTTGTTCATGGATCTCAATTTTTCTTCCTTCTGGTTACTTTGAGAACAACTAATCTATTCAAACCCTTTAGAAATTCCTCTGGTAGCAGGTATCCCTCAAGCTGGAAGATTCATCCAGACACATGTTGGAAAGATCCATCTACATAATCATCCCACTTTGTTGTCTATTGATTTCAAGGCTGAAAAGAAGAGGCTTGAAATATCTCAGCTTGCCCAAGCCTTTCTTCAAGAGCTCCCCATTATTCTCCTGGTAGGAGGGGATAGGGCAATGACAGTGCAGGGACACTAAGAGAGAGGTCATGTAAGAAGATGAGAGCTAGAAATGTGAAAAGAGACCCAAAAAACCCATAGCTTGGAAACTTCTGGCTCTGGATCCCTGAAAAGGGCCCAAGAAAGCTCATACTATATGGTTCCCTAGATCTGGAGGGGGCAGGGATGTACCTTATACAGATTTGTGTAGATCCATAATCCTGGATCCCCAGCATCCATCAGAACTTACTAAATCCAGTAGTAAACTCCTCTGGAGTCAGAAAGCCATTGCCATCAGTATCCAGGGCATCAAACACATCCTCCAGATCCTCCAGGCTGAGTGGCAACTCCTTGTGAAGCCTCTGAAAACAATCCAGACTACACTGGTTAACACTCTGCTGACAATCAGGGGGCTGTCCTGGACTCCAAAGCCTTCGGTCAAAAAATGCCTGAAGTTGGGCCCACTCCTACCAAAAGCCAGGAGCAGGCTCCTGCATCCTAACTGCTTCAGCATCCTTCTCCTCTTTTGAATATTAGAACATCTACTATTTATACAGGAGCTCTGGTGATTAGGTGCCTACTAAGGAGCTCTGGTGGCATAATGCCTAAGGCATTTGACTGCTAACCAGAAAGCTGGTGGTTCAAACCCACAAGCCACTCCTCAGAAGGAAGGTTGGGCAATCTACTTCCATAGTGATACTGCCTCAGAAACCCAAGGAGGGGTTGCTATGAGTCAGATCCAACTCCATGGCAATGGTTGCATTTTTGCGTGTAATGTGCTGTGGTGGCACAGTGCCTAAAACATTTGACTGCTAACTAGAAGGTTGGTGGTTCAAACCCACCAGCCACCTGAGGAAGGAAGACTGGACAATCTACTTCTGTAAAGATTTCCCACCTAGGCAATCTTCTATGTGTGTGTGTGTGTGTACACATATACATACATATATACATATACATACATATGTATTATATTTAAAACACATTGTATATAAATACATAGACAAAACCAAAACCAAACCTACTGCCATAGAGTTGATTCTGACTCATAGTGACCCCTGTAGGGTTTCCAAGGCTGTAAATCTTTATGGAAGTACATTGCCTCATCTTCCTCCCACAAAACAGTTGGTGGGTTTGAACCACTGACCTTCTGGTTAGCAGGCAAATGCATGACCCACTATGTCACCAGAGCTCCTTCATAAATATATATATGTATGAGTATTTATTAGTATATCTGTTGCTGTTGTTGTTATGTGCCATTGAGTTGTCTCCAACTCATAGCGACCCCTCCTTGGTTTCTGAGGCAGTATGACTACGGAAGTAGATTGTCCAACCTTCCTTCCGAGGAGTGGCTGGTGAGTGTGACTTGCCAACCTTCTGGTTAGCAGTCAAGTGCCTTAGCATATACATATATATTTGCAGTTAATTCTCATGACAATCTATTACCCTCATTTTACAGGTGAGGCATGAGGTTAAATTACTTGCTCCAATGTTATTGATTGCATTGTGTCTCCTCAAAATATGTATTGTAAATCCTAATCCCTACACCTGTGGATAAGGCACCCTGCTGGCTCAATGGTTAAATGCTTGGCTAACTGAAAGGTGGATGGTTCAAATTCACCAGCTGCTCCATCAGGGAAAAAGATTTGGCGATCTGCTCCTGTAAAGATTACAGTCTAGGAAACCCTATGGGGCAGTTCTGCTCTGTCCTATAGGGTCACTATGAGTTGGAATTGACTTGATAGGAATGGGTTTAATTTTTGTTTTTGTTTTTAAGATGCTAGCTCCCTTCTGTTTAAGGTATCAGCCCTCCCCAGAGTTATCTGTGATTTAAAAAGGGGCTGGATATGATTGTTTGAGGAAGTCATAAATAAACACTGGGCATGCGTCCTGGGCTGACTAAGACCTCACAAGGAGGGAAGACCAGAGGAACAACTGGGGGAATGACCAGCAAAGTGGCTGAGCTATTTACTACCAGATGTATAATGGCCTCAGGCCAAGGCTAATTTGCAAAGTTGGAGCAAGTATCTTATACCCTAATAATCAAAGTCTCCAAATGAGGGTTCCCCAAGGGAGTTCATTATATCCCAGCTGACTTGCCCTTTTCCTCCCAGTTACCCAGGACAAGGGAAGGCCCTGCACAAAAATGCCTGTGTGGAAATGACTGACAGCTGAAGGCTATAAATACAGGGCTTTGTGGAAAGGAAGGTATATACCCATGTGAACAATAAAAATGAGCTGGCAGGTGTGAAAGCCTATAATGCAACTTGCAAGAACACTTGGCACGATACTATGGCAATCTTCTAGCTGATAAGCCATAAAGTTTAATTTGGTAAGTACGTGCATAAGGGAGATTATGAAGCATTACAAAGTAGGAAGATAGGATGATGAGAAAGCCATTTGGAAGAATTAAATATGAATAGGTTTTTAAAAATGAGAAGAAGAGTGAGAGTGTGTGCAAAGATTCGAGAAGTGCACCTGCTTAGCATACAGCAGAATCTTTGGCTTATCAACAATCCATAAACCAGATGTCTCAAAGGCCGTAGACAGAGAATGTGGGGTGAGGAGGGAATCAATTTTGCAAGCAAGAAGTTGATTAGCTTCATTGGGAAGCCTCATATTGAAGGAGGGTAAAAACCCCAGCTCCTGTCCTACTCAGATTCCAGGCCTTTATTATTCCAGGATAAAAATCCTTCCTCCCCTGTGTTTCAGAGTAGAACTGCACTACATAAGGTTTTCAAGGCTATGACCTTTCAGAGGCATATCCCCAGGCCTTTCTTCCGAGGTGCCTCTGGGTAAGTTTAAACTACCAAACCTTGGTTAGTAGCCCAGCCTCTAATTGTTTGTGTGACCCAAGAACTCCTTGCCCTCAGCCTGTTGCTGTTGTTGTTATGTGCTGTGGAGTAGGACCCGACTCATAGCGACCCCTCCTTGGGTTTCTGAGGCAGTATCACTACAGAAGTAGATTGCCCAACCTTCCTTCCGAGGAGTGGCTGGTGGGTTTGAACCGCCATCCTTCTAGTTAGTAGTCAAGTGCCTTAGGCACTACGCTACCAGAGCTCCCACCCTCAGCCTAGGATTGCTAAAATGTGATCTCTTACACTGGAGCTAGAGATGGGCTGGAAGGAGATTCCCAAGGTCAGTAGGAATATTGACTTTGCTTTCTCCCAAACCACCTCAGGCACTCACGGGTACCTGCTCTCTTGTTAGTGTGACCCAAAAGAGGAAAAAAAAAAAAAAAAATCTTACTGCTGTCAAGTCAATTTCAACTCATAGTACCCTATAGGACAGAATAGAACTGCTTTCCAAGGCTGTAAATCTTTATGGAAGCAGACAACCACATCTTTCTTCCATAGAGCAGCTGGTAGGTTTTAACCACCACCATTTTTGTTTTTTCTTGGTTAGTGGCTCAGTGCTTAACTATTGCACCACCAGGGAAGGGTATTTCACACCCTATCTTGGGCACCATTCCCAAATCTAACCTTTCTGACTGCAATTCCAGTCCTTTTCCCATCTTGCCTACACCTCAAATCAGATTCCTCTTTTTATTGTCAGTGATGATGGGCAAAGCCATATTATATCCTCCAAAGAATTCTTCAGTCCTGGTAAATTAATACTGAGTGCTTCTTCAGCCTTGTCTGTAAGCTACACCATGCCAGATTCTTTAACCTTTTTTTTATTGGACCTACTTAAAAAGTCCTTTAATCTTAATAACCATAATTAGCTCTTATTTATCTTTTTTTTTTTCCTCAGGGCCTGCAGAGTCCTGCAAAACTGACTGTCCTAGAACTGTCCGCTGGGCACGTTGTATTGTCATTTTTACCTAAGTGAGGTAAGCAGGGTGGAGGGGAGACAAAATGGTTCATTTCACTATGCAGATAGGTCTGTGAAGTTGTAAGGTTTTCTGAAAGAGCAGAGCTAGGAGAAAGGAGCCCACCCAGGTTCAATGTCCAATGGTTCACCAATATATTCATTCTGTAATCACCTAACCTTCATTGTCTCTCCCTGTCTTCTCATGAACCACCGACACCTCCACCAGAATGAAGTTCAAAGTCTCTCTTGACAACACTACTGAGCTCTAGCATTCCAAAGACTGTTTCACTCTTACATCTGGAAGGGCAACCAGGGGAGAGAAGAGGAGGAAGTAAGCTCACCTATTAATACTGCCTATGGTCCAAGCAGCTCTTTGAACTCAGTGGCTTCTTTAAGCACTTGTTTCCCTTCACCCCTTTTGCACTTTAAGCTCAGGCTTTACTTCCTCAGTGAAGCCTACTGAAATCTCCAGATTAGGTTACATTATATGGGCTCCCAAAATTGTATTTCTTTCATTCATAAGTCTTTTCTCAGTTTGCATTTCTTTACTGATAGATGAAGTCCCTGGGTAGTGCAAACAGTTAACACACTCAGCTGTTAATCAAAAGGGTGGAGGTTTGTGTTCACCCAGGGATGCCTTGGAAGAAAAGTCCTGGTGATCTGTTTCTGAAAAATGAGCCATTGAAAACTCTATGGAGCACAGTTCTACTCTGACATACATGCTGCTGACATGGGTCAGAATCAACTGCGTGGCAACTGGTTATACTGATGGATGTGGTTAGCTGATGAATGCCTGTCTCTCCCAGTAGAATGGAAGTTCTCTGGAAACAGAGAGCCCATTTGTTTTTATTCACTATTTTGACACCGGGGACTAGCCCATTGCTGGCAAACCGGAAGTATTTAACTATTTGTTGATTGAATGAATAAATGATTATGTGACTAGGAATAATCCCAAGGGATCCTTAATTATCTAGAGAGCCCCAGTCCAGACCTCACATACTCAGATCCTGACCAGCACAACTGCTGATTCTTGGCAATGTCTTATAAACTGGGGATTTTCCAGCACCTGAAAGAGGAGGGAACTCGGCAGCAGCAGTACTGATGGCTTAGGCTCCCAGAGCCACTGACAAATGGTGTCTTTTGCTGCAATCTAGCCAGACTTCTTTAGCTTCCTGGTCATCAGCCCAGTAACATGCCTCATGTCATTTAAAGGAAATAGTTACACAGCTTCAAACATGTTTAAGTGATATTCTCATTAAACAGAAAGCCAGATATGCTAAGTGAAATAAGCCAGACACAAAAGGACAAATATTTATGATCTCATTTACATGAAATATCTGGAATAGGCAAATGCATAGAGACAGAAAGTAGATCTGTGCTTAACAGGGTCTGGGGAGAGGAGAGGAATGACTTACTGCTTAATGGCTACAGAGTTTCTCTGTGGGGTTTTGAAAATGTTTTGCAAGTAAATAGTGGTGGTGGTTGCACAACATTGTGAATGTAATTTATGCCACTGAATTGTACACTTAAAAATGATTAAAATACAAATTTT